AGTTAAAAGAAGCCCAAAAACAAAACAAAAATTCCATTCTAAGTGCCACAACAGAGGAAAATACTTATTGCTATGTGAACAATAGGAGGATTTGGACCTAATGCTTCCTAAGGGAGTGATAGAAGACTTCATCTTTATAAAACCTTGGTATTTTCTCTATCTTTAAAGAGAAACATCCTACAAATGTGTTAATTAGGGTACCTTCAGCTCCAAGTAACCGGAAACCCAACTAAAGCAACTTAAATAATTAGAACAGTGACTATCTCATGCTCCAGAAAATCTGGAGGTGAGCCATTCTGGGGCTGGCTAATTCAGTGGCTTAGGGATAGCAGCAGGACCCAAATATTTTCTATCTTTCTGCTCTTTTGTCCTTGTTATGTCTGCAGTGTCTTTCCTCATAGTTAAGAGATGGTCAAAGCACTTCCAGGTGTTACAAGCAGACGTTTCATCTCCAAAGAAGAAAGGCGTTTGCTCCTGTGCATTGCTTTTTAGTAGTGAGGAAAACCTCTCCCAATTACCCACCTGCAGACTTTCTATCAGGTCCCATTGATCACAGCGAGGGCCCAGGGTCATGCCTTCATAGTGGATTCAGGATCAAGCATTTGGGTTTTCTCCTGAGGGAAATGGAGAGTCATTAGAGGATTTTCAACCAGGTGATAGAGTCACACCTTTTTAGTGGTTGTCTGTTTTGTAGAGACAATGTCTCACTATGTTGCCCAGGCTGGTCTCAAACTACTGGGTTCAAGCAATTCTGTTACCTTGGCCTCCCAAAGTTCTGGGATATACAAGTGTGAGTCACCTCACCCAGCTTAGATTTCTGTTTTCGATAGATCACTTAGAGAGTAATACGGAAGATGGACTAGAGGGAGGGAAAGATGAGAAGCAGGAAAACCTGTTAGCAAACTGTTGCAAAATCCATATGAGAAATGATGAGACCTGAACCAAAGTAATGATGATGGGAATTTGGCGTAGGAATTAGGAAAGACAGAGCTAATCGGAGATGATAAATTTGCATTGGCAGTAGATGCAGAGATTGTCTAGAAGTCTTGCCACCAACTGAACTGAAGAACATCACAGGATCGAATTTGAAGGAGCTGATGATTAGCTCAATTGTGTAAATATTGAATTTGGAGACCATGGTGTTTCCAGGTGGTAGGACAAGATAAAGGCTGGAATTGAGAAAGGGATATGGAGCTGAGAGTTGTCTGCATGGGAGGGATTGGTTAAAGCCAAAGGAATGGATGAGGTCACCCAAAGCAAGAAGGGAAGGGTGCCAAGAACAGAACTCTGGGTGCACAGCATTTAAGGAATGGGCTGTGGATGAGAATTCCATGAAAAAGATGAACTCAGAGGAATCAGAAAGATAGAAAGAGAACCAGGAGGGGGTTGTATTACAGAAGCCAAAGGACAAAGATTTCCAAAGAGTGTTAAATACCACAGAAGGGCAAGGGAGACAGGCATTGACTTCAGCTTTAATGACTTTGATGTGAGCAGTAAAGGCAGCATATGCAGATAACTCTTTCTAGAAGTCTGGCTGTGACGGGGAGTAGAGAGATGATATGATAACTGAGGCGGGTGAGGGACAATTTTATAATGTAGAATGAAGCTTGGACATGTTTGCAGGCTGAAGGAAGGAGCCCAGGGCCTGGGAGATGCCATAGTCCTGTCTGACCTATAGACATAGGCCAGTTTTGAAGCAAAACTCCAAAAGTTGAGTTCTCTCCTCCCTGTGGGCCACTCCAGAGGATCCCTTGGGCTGGCTCCTCAACAGGGGGTCACCAGGTGTCCCTCAGCCTCTGCTGTTATGATGACACACTCATCCACATGCCCTTATTATTCTTAGAAAACACAAGGGAATCAATCCTAGTCTCCATTTAGTACTGGCTTTCTGGAAATTATGCAAAATACTGGCTGTCTCCCAGATCACTTATTAGTGCCTTGGGGTGGTAATTTCATGGAAATGACTGTGAGGCACAGATGAGCCATCTAGCAGACAGCCGTTTGCGTTCCAGGGGTCTGTCTTCTATATCTTCCCTATCCCCTTTGGGGCTGGTCCCACTGTCCCCAGGTCAGGTTCTCAGGGAGCTGTACCCTCACCTTCCCTACTTCCTTCAGACTCAGAGCTTCCTTTGCCCAGCCAGCCACTCACTGTCCATCTCTTGGTGGCATAATTGTAACCAGAAGCAGAGTAGGGTATGCACCTTGGTGAGGTCAGGGATGTGTAACTTGAAGGAGATCCAGGAAAAGCTGTCAACATGGCACAGATCCCAACATGCAGCCCTGGGACAGGCAGCCCTTACCCACAGAGCCCTGGTAGGACACATATTGAGGTGTGTGTGTATGTGTGTATATATATATGTGTGTGTGTGTGTGTGTGTGTATATATATATATATATTTGAGACAGGGTCTCACTTTCTCTGTCAGGATGGAGTGCAGTGGCATGATCTCAGCACACTGCAACCTCCGCTTCCCGGGTTCAAGCAATTCTCCCACGTCAGCCTCCAGAGTAGCTGGGACAACAGGTGCTCGCCACGATGCCCAGCTAATTTTTGTATTATTTTTGGTAGAGATGGGGGTTCACGATGTTGATGTTGGCCAGGCTGGTCTCAAACTCCTGACCTTGTGATCCACCCACCTCAGCCTCCCAAAGTGCTGGGATTACAGGCATGAGCCACTGTGCCTGGCTGCGGTATGTTTTCTAAGGGAAACCTTTACAGAAACTGCCTGCCTCACCCCCAAAGTTTACTCCCAGAAGCCATGCTTCTGCTGCATCTTCCTATTCCTCATCCCCATCTTGGGCTATGAGGTCCAGGGTAGACATTCCGTGGCTTCAATCACTTAGCATAATGTTTTAAGATTCGTTCATGTTGTAGTATGTATTCATACTTCATTCCTTTTGATTGACAAATAACATTCTTATGTATGGATGTGCCATATCGATTCATGGACATTTGGATTGTTTCAATATTTTGGCTTTTGTGAATAATGTTGCTATGAACATTTGTGTACAAGGTGAATGTATTTTGCTATGAATATTTGTGTACAACATTTTGTGTGAATGTATGTTTTCATTTTTGGGGGGATGGAATTGCTAGGTTATATAAGTATGTATATTGTGTAATTGTTTAAACATGACGTTTAATTGTTAACTGCCAGACTGTTTTCCAAAGCAACAGCACCAGTTTACATTCCCACCAGCAGTGTATGGGAGTTTCTCTACATCCTTCGCAACACTTACTGTTTGTCTTTTTCATTAGAACCATACTGGGGGGTATGAAGTGAAATCTCATTGTGGTTTTGATTTCCATTTTTCTAATGGCTAATAATGTTGAGCATTTGTTTGCGTGTTTACTGGCCATTTGTATATCTTCACTGGGGAAATGTCTATTTGTATCCTTAGCTCATTTTTAAATTAGGTTGTCTTTTAATTATTGATTTCTAAGAGTCCTTTGTATATTTTGGGTACAAGTCCCCTATCAGATATATGATTTGCAAAACTCATTCTGTGGGTTGTCTTTTCACATCCCTGATGATAGCCTTTGAAGCACAAAAGTTTTAAGTTTAGATAAAATCCAGTCTATTTTTTCTTTCACTCATGCTTTTTTTTTTTTTTTTTTTTTTTTTGTGACATAGGCTCTCACTCTGTCATCCAGGCTAGAGTGCAGTGGTGTCATCTCAGCTCTTTGCAACCTCCACCTCCCGGGTTCAAGCAATTCCTGTGCCTCAGCCTCCTGAATAACTGGGACTACAGGTGTGCAACACCACACCCAGCTAATTTTTGTATTTTTAGTAGAGAAGGGGTTTCACCATGTTGGCCAGACTGGCCTCATGGGGATCTGCCTGCCTCTGCCTCCCAAAGCGCTGGGGTTACAGGCGTAAGCCACCGCACCGAGCCTCATACTTTTTTTGTATCCAAGGAGGCTTTGTCTAACCCAAAGTTGTTTTTTGTTTGTTTGTTTTTGTTTTTGTTTTGTTTTGTTTGAGATGGAGTCTTGCTCTGTTGCTTAGGCTGGATCACAGTGATGTGATCTTGGCTCACTGCAAATTCCGCCTCCCAGGTTCAAGAAATTCTCCTGCCTCATCCTCCCAAGTAGCTGAGATTACAGGCGCATGCCATCACACCCGGCTAATTTTTGTATTTTTAGTAGAGGCGGGGTTTCACCGTGTTGGCAGGCTGGTCTGGAACTCCTGGCCTCAAGTGATCCACCTGCCTCGGCCTCCCAAGGTGCTGAGATTACAGGTGTGAGCCACTGTGCCTGGCCCTAACCCAAAGTCTTGAAGCTTTACACCTGTGTTCTTTTCCAAGCGCTTTTTAGTTGCAACTCTTACACTTCATTGATGATCCGTTTGGAATTAAAACTTAAATTCAGTATAAATCTGACCCTCATCACATACACACCACTCCTCATCCCAGGTTTAGGTTTCACCCTGATTGCTTAGAGCAGAAGTAGAGGAATAAAATGTAGCAGTAAGCCATCCCCTGTCCTTAATAGGGGGAAGGCTTCTCCCTCACCATTATGTTTCCTTTCAAATAAGAGAGCTCAATTATCGTGACACTTTCCATTAACTTACCCTGTCCACGACAAGTAGAGTGACTTACTTGATTCATAAAAGTGAGAGTAAGCTGGGCATGGTTGATTCAGTACCTCCTTTTAAATTTCTTTTCTAGCCCAGCACAGTGGCTTATACCTGTAATCCCAGCACTTTGGGAGGCTAAGGTGGGTAGATCCCTTGAGGCCAGGAATTTGAGACCAGCCTGGCCAACACAGCGAAACCCCATCTCTACTAAAAATACAAATAATTAGCTGGGTGTGGTGGCATGCGCCTGTAATCCCAGCTACTGGGGAGGCTGAGGCACGAGAATTGCTTGAACCTGGGAGGTGGAGGCTACAGTAAGCAGAGACTGTGCCACTGCACTCCAGACAGGGCAACAGAGTGAGACTCTGCCTCAAAAAATTAGAATAATAAGAAATAAATTTCTTTTCTTTTGTGTTCTTAGGCTAGAGCCTGCCTGCAGGGAGAAGGAGTTCTCTTCTGCTCCTTGTTTTAAGTCTCATCTGGGCAGGGCCCCATGTCTGGAGGCTGCTGGGGACCATGCTACTTCCACTGGATGGTGAGTCTGCCTAATTCAGGGATTCATTAGCTCACTTATTTGGCTCCCCTCTAAACTATATGCCTCAATTTGGCCTTTATTACCAAAAAGGTGAGTTTTTGTCACCATCTATCTGGCTTTGTCACCATCTCTATCTGGTTTCTCAATTTGTTTAGAACCCAGGCAGATGAGAACAGCACTCTGAGTGGGCCACATCAGAGACTCTAACACCTTCTTTCCTGACTTAAAGGAAAGGAACTATTCCTAGTTCCTCTAGTATATGGGGGTGGGGAAGAAGGAAAGGGCCATTTCCCTCAAATTTTCTTCTCTCTTGCTCAGTTAGACCCTGGAGATAGTTCAGTAATCTATTGCCTAACCAGATACCCACATGGGAAATAGAATTGCAGTCTCATCTTCTTGCAGGCAACTCTAATCCCTACAAATGCTTCCTTTGGGGCCCAGTATGGTGGCTCACACCTGTAATCCAGGTGGTTTGGGAGGCTGAGACGGGAGAATCACTTGAGGCCAGGAATTCAACACCATCCTGGGCCAACATAGTGAGACCCTGTCTCCACAAAATAAATAAATAAATACATACATACATACATACATACAGAGTCAGCCAAGCATTTCGGCGTATGCCTATAGTCCTAGCCACTTGAGAGACTGAGGTGGGAGCATTGCCAGAGCCCAGGAGTTTGAGGTTACTATGATCACACCACTGCGCTTCAGCCTGGACAACAGAGAGAGATCCTGTCTCTTAAAAAATTAAAAAAAAAAAAAAGGTCTGGGTGCAGTGGCTCACGCCTGTAATCCCAGCACTTTGGGAGGCCAAGGTGGGTGGATCATGAGGTCAGGAGTTTGAGACCAGCCTGACCAACATGGTGAAACCCTGTCTCTACTAAAAATACAAAAAATTAGCTGGGCTTGGTGACACACACCTGTAATCCCAAATACTCAGGAAGCTGAGGCAGGACAATCACTTGAACCCAGGAGGCGGAGGTTACAGTGAGCCGAGATCGCACCACTGCACTCCAGCCTGGACAACAGAGCAAGACTCCATTTCAAAAAATTACATAAACAAATAATAATACTAGTAATAGCAATTCCTTTGGAGCCCCTCCCTCCTTTCCCCATACGAGGCTTCAGTTAGAGAAGAAAACACCCACTTACCATGAACAAACGCTGCAGTCTCCACAAGTCCCACTACCCTCAAGAAGTCTCCCCTGCCTTCCCTTTTCTATATCTTAATATAATTCAGAAGGTAGGGGGTGACGGTGGAGGGGTGGTGGTTGATGGGAGCAGAACCAATTGTGCATCCTGTTTGTAAGCCCAGGGGAAGATTAAAGGGCGAAGGGTTCTACACTTCAAATGTAAGCTGTTCTCTTTAGAAGGTGAGATATTTTGTTTTTGTTTTTGTTTTTGTTTTTTGTGGCCATGGGCTTTAGTGTCAATTGTAGGGCAACAGGAAAAGAGCCACCAACATCCTGTTAAAAAGTAACCCCCCATGCTGGGTGCGGTGGCTCATGCCTGTAATCCTAGTACTTTGGGAGGCTGAGGCGGGTGGGCCGCTTGAATCCAGGAGTTCGAGACCAGCTTGGCCAACATGACAAAACCTCATCTCTACTAAAAATACAAAAATTGGCTGGGCATGGTAGTGCATGCCTGTAGTCCTAGCTACTCAGGGGGGTGAGGCAAGAGGATCGCTTGAGCCCAGGAGGTGAAGGCTGTAGTGAACCCCGATCGTTCCACTGCACTCTAGCCTGGGTGACAGAGTGAGAACCTGTCTCAAAAAAAAAAAAAAAAAGTTACCCCTGCTCTTGACCAAAAATTTAAAAATATTATAAATATAGATGTAATAGAGGAATTGCAAAGCCCCCATAACCCCACTTCCCTGGATAAAAGGGAACAGTGTTAGCAGTTGGATATATATTCCTCCAGACTTTTTTTTTCAATGCATGTATTAACTTTAAGAAAAGGATGAGTTCATAATGTATATGCAATTTTGTAACTTCCTTTTTTCAATAAAAAATATCCTAGGCATCCATAAGATTTCTTGCTATCAGAGAATGGAGAGAAAAATATGGAAAGGAAGATAACTAGGATGAACCTTCTGGAGTTGGATTACAAACTGAATATTGGTGGAAACATTTTCCTCAATATATATAGATAGATTTAGAAAGAAATATACATATATGCACTTGAATCTCTCAAGTCGCCTGCTTGGCCCTCTTCCAAGTGTACTAAATAAAAAAAAATATACATATAAATGTCTATATGTGAGAGTATATACACATAACACACACACTCCACATGGATATACATAGATGTATTTCCCAGCTTTGCCCATTCTTAGAGTCCAGAAACAGTGATATCCCAAACACAATGAACATACCTAGCACTCAGTTCTTGATTTTTAAAAACCATCCTTCAGTCGGGCGCTGTAATCCCAGCATTTTGGGAGTCTGAGGTGCATGGATCACTTGAGCCCAGGAGTTCAAGACCAGCCTGGGTAACAGGGTGAAACCCTGTCTCTAAAATATATATATACACACACACACACACACACACACACAAACACACACACACAATATGTGTATATATACACAATACATATATACACAAATATATATATAGTGTGTAAATCTAGCTGGGCTCGGTGGCTCGTGCCTGTAGTCCCAGCTACATGAAAGGCTGAGGTGGGAGAATCACTTGAGCCCGGGAGGCAGGCAGAGGTTGCAGTGAGCCAAGATCACACCACTGCACTCTAGCCTGGGTTGACAGAGCTACACCCCATCTCAATAAATAAATAAATATATATATATAAAAAAAATAAATAATAAAAACATCCTTCACTAAAAGGAACCAGGGCTCCTTAGAGAAATGGCTTCCAGGGCTGAATCACAGACAGTGCAATATGAGTCTGGTTTGACATCTTTCTGTGCCAGAATGTAAAGAAATGCCAAAAAGTTGATGGAGACATGTCAAAAATTCAAAATTTAGCCAGGCGTGGTGGAAGGCACCTGTAATCCCAGCTACTCAGGAGGCTGAGGCACGAGAATCGCTTGAACCGGGAGGTGGAGGTTGCAGTCAGCCAAGACTGTGCCACTGCACTCTAGCCTGGGCGACATAGTGAGGCTCCATCTCAAAAAAAAAAAAAAAAATAGCCAGGCATGGTGGTGAGTACCTGTGGTCCCAGATATTCAGAAGGCTGAGGTGGGAGGATCACTTGAGCCGAGGAAGTGGAGGTTGCAGTGAATGGAGACAGCGCCACTGTACTCCAGCCTGGGCAACAGAGTGAGACCCTGTCTCAAAAAATAAAATAAAAACAAATCATATATATTATGATTATTTTACATATATAGGTTTGCTATTTTCATATGTTATACATTTTAATGTTATATACATTATAATATTTTTTTACATATATGTGTGTATATATGTGATATATATGTCTTATTGGTTCTGCTTCTCTGGAGAATCCAGACATACACCACTGAATAAAATAGGACCATGAGCACATACTGATATAAATAGATAGATAAGTTAAAGTTTGATAAAGAACAGTATATCTGCATAGTTTCAAAACATCTACCCACATTTCTTCTAATTAGGGAGAGCAAAAACAAAAACAACAAATTCTGCCCACAAAATGCTTATTACAAAGGGAAAGAGAATATGTTTTCAGTGAAGAAAGCTGGAAGACACCACCTTCGTCAAATGATCAAAGTGAACATCATCAGTAATGGGACAAACGGAAACAATAGACCCACTGGTAAGATGCAATAAGAGCATAATATTATTCCTGTGATGTGTAACCTGAATGTAATCATTGAGAAAACATCAGCCATACCTAAATTGAGGGACACTCTACAAAATACCTAAATTGAGGGACACTCTACAAAATAATCTTCAAATACGTTAAGGTTATGAATGTCAAGAAAAGACTGAAGTACTGTGTCTAATTCAAAAGGAGAATAAAGAGGCATGACAACCAAATGCAACATGTAATGCTGAACTGGCTCCTTTGCTGAAAAAGACCTCCTTGGGATAACTGGTAAAATTTTCATGGGGCCTGAAGATTGGATGGTTGTAATGTGTTAATATCAATTTCCTGATTTTGATGGCTGTATTGTGGCTGTATAGGCAAATGTCCTTGTGTTTAGGAAATATACACTGAAGTACTCAGTGGTGATGGGTTATCATGTCAGTGACTTACTCTCAAACAAGGTGAAGAAAATTCTTTGTACTAATCTTGCAACTTTTCCATGGATTTGAGACTGTTTTGAAAAATTAATGATCTAGAGGAAGAGAAGAGTACGGCACTGGAAGGCTGATTGCAATCGTGTGTGGGCAGGACTTGTTGCCCACAGGGCTTCTTTGTACCTTGCTAAGGCAGAGGGTTGGCTTTTCCCCTGGACACCTCACTCTTGCTTTCCAAGGCATCTGGTGCCTCTAATTTCTGAATCTTTCTAGGGTACTGCAGGGACACTGACTTGCTTCTTGTCAGTGTCTCCTTTGCAAGTACCCTCTGACCTCGTTTGGTTTTCTTGAAAGTCAAGTCTGAGATAAGAACTTGGGTGGAGGTAGTTTATTGGAGAGATGATCCCAGGAAGCAAGTGTGAAGAAGCAGAGAAAAGCTGATCAAAGGAAGAAGGAAAAGCCAATAGAAGAGTACATTATTAAGGTCATCTTTGAGGTAGTTAGGGACTGGGAAAGGTACAGTGTGCCTCTCCAAACTGTCTGCCCAAGGCACTGGACATTGAAGTATGCATCCTTTCTCTCTGTGGGTCCCCCTTTGGTTGAGGACTGCCCCCCACTGGCATTAATTTGGGGAGTCCTACTCCCCAAGTGCCTTTTCTCTTGCACATGAGCCAAGCAGCTTTCATAATATCGAAGAAGCTCCAGGGCAAAGAGAAAAAATTTGGGTTGTTGAGGCACAATGCTATCAGCACAGGTGAGTTTGAGCTGTGGCTGAAGTCACAGGCAGGCTGAGAAGATATGAATGAGGTAGCAGCTTTGCCTTCCTCCAATTTCTTAAGACAATTTCTCCACCTGCTTTCTCTATTTCAGATTTCTCCCTCTGTCGCCAAGGATGGAGTTTGTGTTTTTGTTTACTAGTCTCTTTGTTGGCAATGGGCTGATGTCTGAGTAAAGTACAGGGAAAGGACTTTGCTATCTTGTCATCAGAAGTCAACCCATTGATAACTAATATAACACTTGCTTTTAATGTATCCAATACGTGATTACACTACTGTGAGTGATTCCCAAACCCTGTCCCCAGCTCTTCTAGTTGTCTCATTTCTCAGGATTTCTTTGGCATTGCTGGTTAATGAAGTGAGATTTGCTCATCCTAGGCAAATCACAGGTTGGACTCCTCCCATCCAAGAGGGAATGCAATTCATGCTCCACAATTTTCACAGAAGCTTGTCAGCTTCAGTATCTATTGGTCTTATACATATTTTTCTCTTTCTCTCTTTCCCTCTTTCTAGCACCTATTGGTCTTAGAGTTGTTTTTTCTCTCTCTCTCTCTTTTTCAGATGGGGTCTCACTATCTTGGCCAGACTGGTGTTGAACTCCTGGCCTCAAGTGATTGTCCCACCTTGGCCTCTCAAAGAGCTGGGATTACAAATGTGGGCCACTTCACCTGGCTCTTGTCTTATAGTTAAAGCCTGTCTGTGGTCACCAAATCGATGCCAGAAGCCCTTGTCAAGAAGCAAAACTAAGACTTAAAGTGTAAACTACCTTCTTATAAGAAGCACAGTTGGAATTTAAAAGTCCAATTAGAAAGAGACTGAGAAGGGAACATGCCACTCTCAGACAAGATCAGATCCTATCTTATGCACTGTATTCTTTTAGCACTTTATACTATTATGATTAAATAATTCATTGTGAAATCAATTGTTTAATGTCTAGCCCTCCTCCACTACAAGATAAGTTCCATGCGAGTAGATATGTGTTATTTAAAATTCCTTCTGGCCGGGCACGGTGGCTCACACCTATAATCTCAGCACTCTGGGAGGCCTAGGCGGGTGCATCATCTGAACTCAGGAGTTTGAGACCAGCCTGGGCAATATGGTGAAACCCTGTCTCTACCAAAAATACAAAAAATTAGCCAGGCATGGCGGCATGTGCCTGTAGTCCCAGCTACTTGGGAGGCTGAGGTAGGAGGATCACTTGAGCCTAGAAGGTGGAGGTTGCAGTGAGCCAAGATTGTGCCACTGCACTCCAGCCTGGATGACAGAGTGAGACCCTGTCTTTAAAAATAAATAAATAACTAAAAATCATGCAGTGTATGTTTTCAGATACAAGTGACAGAACCTCCAACTGAAATTTGCTTTAAAATTAGAAAATACGTTATTGTACATAAGAAATTTAGAGGTAGGGTAGGTTTCCAGGTTGGTTGATTCAGCAGCTCAACAATGTCATCAAGAATATGGGTTCAGCTTGGGCATGGTGGCTCACACCCATAATCCCAGTGCTTTGGGAGGTCAAGGCGGGCAAATCACCTGAGGTCGGGAGTTTGAGACCAGCCTGATCAACATGGAGAAACCCCATCTCTACTAAAAATACAAAATTAGACAGGCATGGTGGCTGGTAATCCCAGCTACTCAGGAGACTGAGGCAGGAGAATCACTTGAACCCGAGAGGCAGAGGTTGCAATGAGCCAAGATCGTGCCATAGAAATCCAGCCTGGGCAACAAGAGCAAAACTCCATATCAAAAAAAAAGAAAAAAGAAAAGAAAAATAAAAAAAGAATATGGGTTCCAATGAGAACACATGGACACAGGGAGGGGAACGTCACACACTGGGGCCTGTCAGGGAATGGGGGACAAGAGGAGGGAGAGCATTAAGACAAATAATGCATGCGGGGCTTAAAACCTAGATGACAGGTTGATAGGTGCAGCAAACCACCATGGCACATGTATACTTATCTAACAAACCTGCACGTTCTGGGCATGTATCCCAGAACTTAAAATAAAATAAAACGAAAAATACGGGTTCTTTCCACCTCTCTACATGCCATCTTTGGTGTTGACTTCACCCTCAAGCTGCAAGATGGCTGTAAGAGTTCCAATCATCATACAAAATTAAGGCATAAACTCTGGAGGAAGAAGAGAGAACATCTCTCCTGGCTCTTTTTTTGAAACAAAGAAACTTTTCTTGGAATCCTCTTACACAGTTCTCAACACGCATTGGTCAGAATCGAGTCATATGCATATTTCTAGGCTAATCTGGGCAAGGGGATAAGATTGCCTTTAGACCAGTCAGTCAGGCCTAGCTCTTGGAACTGGGCCTGGAGTCTTCTTCCCTTGATACTCATGGCTGCATGAGAGAGAAATGGATAGCTGAACAAAATCAAGATTCTGTTAAAATGGAAGCTGGAGGCAACATAGAGTGTCCACTAACTCTCTGCACAGCACATGGCTATTCAAATCTGCTAGCCCAGGCTGGACGACAATCTCTATGAAAGCCACTGGCTGTCCTCAATACCCTCCATTCCGATGTGGACGCCTCCCCAAAACATTTCCCCTCTTTCTTTCTTGTTACCCAGCTCCCCATCGAGTTCTGGAATTAGCTAACCCCAGGCACAGCTGTGTTTTACCTTGAGGTTTTTGCTACATTACCACAGAAGACGCTGTTTATGCTCTTGTTCAATATCCTTTATATAAGAATGTGTGATGAATGTCTCTTTCAATTACACATTTGTATCTATAGACAAATACCCTCTCACCAAACGAGGACAATTACACAATCCATAATCATTCTTTCCTGCAACAGTGAACTTAGAGCTATCTACAGTGCTCAATAGCTGTCATGATCTCATCCCAGGCTCTTGGTACCATTACGTTTCTCCTTTCTCTAATATTGTGTCTAATATCTGGTTGTTGTTTTTTCTTCATGTAATAAGTTGATGTTGGGAAAGACTGGACCCCAGGATTTTGAGCTGTTAATGGGGAGAGACCAACAATACAAGAAACTAGACCTAGTTTGGCACAGTTCCTCCATGGGCCAGAAACTGACTTCCCAGATTACATATCTTAATTTGAGTTTAATTTGATATCTAAAAGCTGACTGACCAGACATTGAAAGGTATTTATATCAGATTATTGGAATTGCCTTTTGAGGACTGTAAGGCCAAAATATACTCTGGTGGTCTTTTAGGAAATACATTCTCAAGGGAATGGTTAGTACCATCGTTAATCATCCTGGCTAGAGTTCAATCCTGTGGCTGGAAATGAGGTCTGGGGAGCAAACCTATAGAATGGGGTAAGGCGAAACGTCCTCCATTCTCTGATGCCTAGGGCCAGTTTGGCCTGGACTCTAAGGTCAGAATATTCCTGGAGAATTCCTGGTGGTCATAAATATTGTCTCCTGCTGTCATGAGGCCAGGCCTGGAACACAGCAGGAAGATGGATAGTGGGGGTCCCGAGGAAGGATCTGAGTTTTTGCAGTCATTGGAAATTCTCATCTTTTGTTAATTTGCCTTTCCTTTTTCTTGAATCATCAGTCACTTCCCTTGAAATATTATGGGCTGGTCTCTGCTGGGATGTGTGAAATTGAAGGGAAGGTCTTGTCTCACACATCGGCCATAGAAACCAAGTTCTGCCTACTTGAACCCCAAACGGTGTCAGCAGTAGTTGTTAGCAGAGGATAGCTGGGTCTGTGGAGCAGAGACCTCAGGGGTCCCTGTGGCAGAGGCAGCAGTGTCGATATATGGTGAGGAGGCCAGAGAGAAAGTATAGGAAGGATTCTCCCTCCCTTCTTCCTTTATTTTTTTCCTTCCTTCCCTTCTCTCCCTTCCTCTTCTTTCTTGTTCTCTTTCTTCTCTCCCATCATTTCCTTTCCTTCTCCTCCTCCTCCTCCTCCTCCTCATCCTCCTTCTTTTTTTTTTTTTTTGATAGTCTCTTGCTCTGTCACCCAGGCTGGAGTGCAGTGGCTTGGTCTCAGCTCACTGCAACTTCCGCCTCCCAGGTTGGAGCGATTCTCCTGCCTCAACCTCCAGAGTAGCTGGGATTACAGGCATCTGCCACCATGCCCAGCTAACTTTTGTATTTTTAGTAGAGACAGAGTTTTGCCATGTTGGCCAGCCAGGCTGGTCTCAAACTCCTGACCTCAGGTCATCCGCCCACCTTGACCTCCCAAAGTGCTGGGATTACAGGCGTGAGCCACTGCACCCAGGCCATCTTTTTTTTTTTTTTAGAGACTGGGTCTTACTCTGTCAAATAAACTGAGTGCAGTGGCACAATTATAGCTCACTGTAACCATGAACTCCTGGGCTCAAGTGATCCCCCTGCCTCCGCCTCCCAAGTAGCTGGGACTACAGGCACATGCCACTACATCGGCTAATTTTTTTTTTTTTTAGAGATGGGGTCTTGCTATGTTGCCCAGGCTCATCTCAAACTCCATGCGTCAAGTGATCCTCCTGCCTCGGCCTCCCAAAGCTCTGGAATATTACCGGGCTGAGCCACCACACCTGGCCCTTCTTTTTATTTAATTTAAATTTTTTTTTTTTTTGATACAGCGTTTCTCTCTTGTTGCCCAGGCTGGAGTGCAACAGCGTGATCTCAGCTTACTGCAACCTCCACCTCCCAGGTTCAAGCGATTTTCCTGCCCCAGCCTCCCAAGTAGCGGGGATTCCAGGCACCCGCCACCACGCCTGGCTAATTTTGTATTTTTAATAGAGATGGCATTGGGGCTTCACCATGCTTATCAGGCTGGTCTCAAACTCCTGACCTCAGGCTATTCACCCGCCTTGGCCTCCCAAAGTACTGAGAAAAGGTGTGAGCCACCTTGCCCTGCCCTCTTCTTTTAAAATAGGTAACATATTCACATGGTCCTAAATGAAAAAGTACAAAAAGCATATACCCCAGACATCCAGTCACCCAGTCCCTTCCCCTTCTCACCCCGTTACTAGTTTCCTTTGAATTCTTCCCGGGAAACTTATGAATATACAAACAAGTATATATATTTATATTTATATATGTTTATTTTAAAGATATATTTATATAAATATGTTTATTTTAAAGATATATTCATCAAAATATATTTAGATTTATTCATGTGCTACATAACATTTCAGCCAATGAAGGACTACATATAGGATGGAGGTCCCATATTTTAAGAGAGCTGAAAAATTTCTGTCTAGTGATTTTGTAGCCATCTTAACGTCATAGCGCAAAGCACCACTCACATGTTTGCAGTGATGCTGATGTAAACAACCTACTGTGCTGCCAGTTGTATAAAAAGTATAGCACATACAATTATGTACAGTATATAATATTTGATAATGATAATAAATGACGAGGGGACTGGTTTATGTGTTGACTATACTATACTTTGTGTGTGTGTGTGTGTGTGTGAGGCATCTCACTCTGTCACCCAGGCTGGAGTGCAGTGGCATGATCTTGGCTCACTGCAACCTCTGCCTCCTGGATTCAAGTGGTTCTCCTGCCTCAGCCTCCCGAGTAGCTGGGATTACACGCGTGTGCTACCATGCCTGGCTAATTTTTGTGTTTTCGATAGAGACAGGGTTTCACCATGTTGGCAGGGTGGTCTCGAACTCCTGACCT